CAGGCCTGCCCTTTGCCTTGCTAATCACCTTTTGGTGTGTGCCATAAGTGTCACTGAAAGCATATTTATAATGTTTAATAAAAAAAATGAAATTAACAACAGGGTAATGCACAGTGTACGCAAGGGCGTTTGGGTTGCCAATAAATAAATGGCACTTTAATGACCATGTTTAGTGCATATTATTTAATTAAGTATATATGCATAGAATATGAGAAATAGATAGGTAAGGGGAGTTACCAATTGCTGAAAATGACGAGCATTTAACTTGTAAGCAAATTGCACCTCCAGACTCATTTTTCCGGTAGCATTTGTTTACATCAGGGGCTGGCAACCAAAACAACGAGAATGGCCGTCGTTTTTAGAATTCAGTCGTACACTCGAGAGGGCCAATGCGTGTGAATACGAGTTGGTGGTCCTTCATAACAAAACGACGCCACTAAACAATCCTCAATGAGCTGCACGTTACCGAGGCCCCGCCCACGGTGAACTTGAGCTCTCCGCGGTGAACTTGAACTCCCCGTGGTGAACTTGAACTCTCTGTGGCGAACTTGAACTCTCCATGGTAAACGTGAACTCTCTGTGGTGAACTTGAACTCTCCGCGGTGAACTTGAACTCCCCGTGGTGAACTTGAACTCCCCGTGGTGAACTTGAACTCTCCATGGTAAACGTGAACTCTCCGTGGTGAACTGTAACTCCTCTGTGGTGAACTTGAACTCTCCATGGTGAACTTGAACTCTCCGTGGCGAACTTGAACTCCTCATGGCGAACTTGAACTCTCCGTGGTGAACTTAAACTCTCCATGGTGAACTTAAACTCTCCATGGTAAACGTGAACTCTCTGTGGTGAACTTGAACTCTCCGTGGTGAACTTGAACTCTCCATGGTGAAATTGGACTCACCGCGGTGAACTTGGACTCTCCGTGTTCCAGGGGTCAGCAACCATCATAACAAGAGCTACGTTTTTTTCTATGATAATGATATGCACTATCATTTTTTTGAGTTGTACGCCTTTTGACGTCATCTGGTCCAACACCAATGGAGACTCGGCTCTAAGAAAAGCTGTCTCGGGTGTGGACCAATCAACTTCAATGACAGTGCATATCATTATCATCATCAGAGTTGTTTTTTTTTGTTTGCATTTTGACTGCTTGTGTTGTGGTTATTGCAAACATGATGCCTTGTATAAAGTTGTCAGTTTTTGTACCAGTTGAAAGGATAAAAACCTATTACTATATTTTTCCGCTGGTAAAGGAGGTCTCATAACTATAGGTATGTTCCAACTTCCCATTGTCTCATCAGAAAACTATTGCCATTCCACTGGATGCAATGCGATACGGACGGCGCGTTATGCATCTGTTAGATGCGTATTTATGTACCAGCGTGTTTAATGATATTAAGTCAAAACTGAGAGTGCGAGAGAGATGGCTGTGCGCATCTGCACTGGTGGTTCAGAGTCAGTGGGGAACATTCCTCTATTAGGGCCAGACTCCACAGGAGCAACACCTTTTGACTTCACAAGGCAATACTTATTTTACATACCCCGAAAGGATGATGCGTTGGGTCAGCTCCAAAGTGACCTAACAACCATTTGAGTCGTGACTCATTTATCAACCGCAATACAGTCCAGCCCTGCATATTGGACGTAAGTTCCTCATGTTAAATGATGATACATTTCTTCAACATAGTGTTTAACATAATAAGCACACATGGACAATATATATACTCACACATAACAGACTGGAGGGGCAAGTGCTGTTAGCGAGCACCTATGAAGGCCGGAACGGTACACGAGGGGGTGGGTGGCCAGTACCACGCCCGACCGCCTTTATCTCCCCAGTGTTTACACATCGCACCGGGTACTCATTTGAGGCTGAGTCGACCTAGGGGAGGCCCAGGACCGGTTCAGATAATCGTCACTGGTGTTGGCCGTGAGCGGGAATCAAACTCGGGTCGCCGGGTTCACAGCGCAGCGCGCTAACCGCTACGCTACCGCTCCCCAGAAGCGGTACATACATACACATAAACTCACACATACACGCACACATACATACGCACATACATTCACACATACATACACTCACACACACATACACTCACATGCATACACACACATACATACACTCACAAATACATACACACACTCACACATACATACATACACTCACTCATACATACATACACTTACACATACATACACACACTCACACATACACACACACACTCATACATACACTCACACATACATACACTCACACATAAACTCATACATACACTCACACATACATACACTCACACATATCTCACACATACATACACTCATACATACATACACACATACATACACTCACACATGCATACACTCACGCATACATACATACATACATCCATACACAAAACCGTGTATGTGCCCAAGCCTGTGCATTTCCACGCAGCATTTAGCTCGGAGTAGTGCAAGGTGCAGTATTTATTTTTATACATTTAAATTTGCTTATATAAATGTTCGGTTAATTTCACGTTTAGATTTTTTCCACCACCGCTGCAGCATAGCAATCTGGCATCCTCTTGCCTCTGATGTCTGCTGTTAATCACACTGACTCATTGAAAGAAACCCAAGGCGGTGAACGTCTCCGTAAACGGGAGCCGCGGTCTGCGTGCGTACGTGCGTGTGTGTGCGTGCGTCTGTGTGCGTGCATGTGTGTGCGTGCATGTGTGTGGGGTTGCGTGTGTGTGTGCGTGCATGTCTGTGTGTGTGTGCGTGTGTGTGCGTGTGCGTGCATGTGTGCGTGCGTGCATGTGTGCGTGTGTGCGTGCGTGCATGTGTGCGTGTGTGTGCGTGTGCGCGTGTGTGTGCGTGTGTGTGTGCGTGCATGTGTGTGTGTGTGCGCGTGTGTGCGCGTGCGTGCGTGTGTGTTCGCGCGTGTGTGCGTGTGTGTGCGTGCGTGTGTGTGTGCGTGCGCGTGTGTGCGTGTGTTCGTCACTGCGCACTCTATCCCCCGCGCTCCCTAAAAACCCAGCGCGCCGTGGGGCTGCTCTCAGCTTGAGTTCTTTTTGTACGCACATAGCGAAATGACACACCTGTTAAGCCTTCTATTTCCAGCAGAGCACCCCAGATACAAACACCTATCTTTCTGATTTCAAATCGGATGGGGACTTTATATATATATATTTTTATGATTATTGTTGTATTTTATTCGCCTGCCTTTACATTAAATTTAAATCATTTCATGGATCCTTTAAAATGGGAGATTTCCATGCCTCACGGGAGGTCATGGGGCTTCCTGTAATGTCTGTAGGCTTCTCTCCGAAAGAGACTTAACAGATTTGAAATTAGGACCCAGGCTATATCCTTCCCCGTGTTATTGGAAAAAAATAAACTCCGCACATTCATGCCTCCTATATGTACATCCTTTGTTGCAAAACATGCTTTTAAAATGTGAACCTTTTTGGAATTTCACAATAATCACTTACCGTAAAAAGATCACAACGGTGCATATATTGAAATGATTACGTGTTTGCACCTCCCATTGTTATGTTTGCAGTGCAAAATAATTTAGAGGATATTATTTTTCTGTCAGACAAGTGCAGGCATTGCAATGTTATGACTTTCACAATTAACTTAGACCTTCTGGGTTCGATTTCTCACCAAGGTTATGAATACAATACCTGGCAGCCAGTGCATTGAGTTGTTTTTTTTTACCATGATTTGGTCGTCATAATTACAATCGAAAGTCAAAGGGCTCTTCCTGTGACTTTGGCTTCTCTAGAAGTGGAAATTTCACATTTATATGGTGGGAGGAGGGGGGGCAGTATTAACATAAAACATTCAGTATTGACTTCTCACAGAGTGGTACCTATTTTATAGACCTTGGAGGAATTATGATCTGCAAACTGTGATGGGGCTAAACGCAGGAACCTCCACCTCCTTGATAATAATGATTAGTGACCAAAATGGAATTATATTTGGCTGCATGCCTCGGGAAATTGAAATTTCATCTGGCACCAATGCCACCGGCACTGCTATACAGGGCCCACACTTTACCATTTTATTAAATGCCACACTGTGACCGTGTTACACAATGCTTTGATATGATTAGGTTTTATATAGCATCACGTACAACGATATCATTGGACACTGCACGTGATCAATAACGTGTGTGTGAAAAAAATACATACATATACGAAAGTGGTGGTAAAACATTTGGTGAGAGATGTCACTTTCATGTTTATTGGTCTTTTAAAATGATTGAGTCTTCGTGTCCTGTGTCGCGTCCCCTAATGATGTTGTGATTAGCCTTAGTGGGAGCATATCTCCTTGCCTTACTCATCATTTGATTTGTAATTTGTGAAGTTATCACTTTTAATAATTGTATTACTTTTTAAAAGGCATGAGTTTGTAAGAGCTTGGCAGATTGTATTAGTTTTCTCTGAATTATTAGCTTTTTTCATAGTCTATAATACTCAGGAATAGCCGCATTTGGTATTAATTTGTCTTTTCTCGAATCGGGTTAATAGTATGTATATGGTCAACTGTAGAGAAGCCTTTGGTTCTTTGAGATATTCATGAATAATCTTAATACTATATGTTTGCTGTATTATAGGAGCATAATAGGTCTGTGATTCTTAAAAAAAAATTGCCCTTTTTTGCATGGAAAAGATTGCATGATCGCAGCATTATTCAATGATTAAGGTGTCTCTTTTCTGCGTACACATTTAGTAAATAATAAATATCCCATAACGTATTTTCCACTTTATGACCGGTATGGCGTGGTGAAGCAGTCACCCAACATCGGATGAACAAAGAGTTGTCAACAATTAAAATCAATAACATTAATTACATATTTGAAAGAAAAGGAAAAACAGTTGCAGGATGTGACGGTAGATTTAAATTGCCCTTCAAATTACTTGTGCACCGAGGAATTTGGCTCTGTGTAATTGCGTCAACAATGCTCCCCTTTGTACCTGCGTCCTATGTGCTGCTGTTTCTCCCCGCGCGTCCCCAGGGCTCCGCATTGCTGGGGCAGATGACGGAAACAGGCTGCTGGCTGGCTCACCTGCCCTGCTACGGAACAGAGGAAGGCAGCAACTGCGTCATCTACAGCAACGGTGAGCAGAGCACGCGTCCCCTGCTCCTCGGGAGGCACGGCCCTGCATACAGCGGCTTTAGAACTCGTTTCCATGTTGCAGCCGCTTATTGCCTCTCAACTGCTGCTAAGTAAATGGCTTAATGATAGCAGCCATTGTCTGTTCCTGTGTGTGGGAGTGTGGCGGTGAGAGCGCTTGCGCTACGAATCCCGGCGGCCCGAGTTCGATTGCCTGCTCATGGCCAACATCAATGATGAATAACTGAACTGGTCATAGGCATCGCCTGGGTTTACTAAACTTGAAATTAATAGCTGGTGAAATGTGTACACACATCACCCATTGAGGATAGAAATGCAGCCGGGCGTGATGCTGGCCAATCACCCCCTTCGTGTGCCGTGCCAGCCTTCATAGGTGCTCGCTAACAACACTTGCCCCAAAAGGCCATATGGGGGATCTTTGTATTTGTTATCCCAATGTACTCAAAATTCGGTGACCCGAGTTTGATGACTGGCCACGGCTAAAATGAGGTGCACATATCCGAACAGGATTTGGACCTCCACTTGGCTTACTCAGCCTAAAATTAATACCAGGGCCGCAGAGTGTATACATCGGCACTGGGGAGTTAGAGAATTATTCTGGCCTCAAACAGCACTTGTCCCAATAGTATACTAAGGCTATCTGGGGGTCTTTATCTTTTTATGCGTGGATGTGTACTGTACTCATGAATATAGCATTCAAGTGGAGTTCAATGTTATTTGTTTATATGCGTTACAACATTATATGATGCGTGTTATGTGTATGTATATAAGACTCCATCTGTATGCAAAAATCTCAGTGAGAGCATCTGCCTATTTAAATGAGCAATGGCGCAACACCCATTTGCATTATTAGCCTTGAGCCCAGTAGTGGAAATGTCTACATTCACATAGCAGGGGGGCCAGTGTCTCCGCAGAACAATCCACTGCCGTGGTGACGAGAGGGCATCGCAGTGGCTATGAGATGTTAACTACCTCGCCTGGTCTACAGGAGGTTGGGGGTTTGATCCTGACTCTGACGCCTGCTGCTGTATATTTGGAGTTTGCGTGTCTCTCTCCCCGTGGTCCATTGGATGTTTTTCCGGGTCCTTCGGATATACCCGTGCATTTAGAGTATTTGGCTGCTATAAATGTCCACGTGATAAGCCACTTCGTTGGGCGATACAGCTCAGTGGCGTTACCTGGTACAGTAAAACGTAGTTTAATAGTTTTAATCGTTTAAGAGAACTCTCTTACTGTACGACCCTTGGCATGATGTATGGGCTGGGTTGACCGCAGACCTGGATCCGAACTTGAGACATTCCCATCGCGAGTCGAGCAGTTGTAACCGCAACGGCCACTCGGCCAGATACGGTGACTGTAATTGCCTGAAAAGTCTGTGGAGAGGAGGGGGGGGAGGGAGGTCTCGCCACCACCGAGGTGCTATCAGTGTTGGGGCTCTGAACCGTGTGTTCTGTCTGTGCCGAGCGTATCACTGGACCGTTATCAAGCCAGAAGGCACCGCCATGTCTACTGAACAAGGCTGCAAATTCAAACAAAGATCTCTCCCCCTCTTAGTAAAAAAAAACACAAAGCATAAAATAAAATAAAAATTGCCACAATTTTCCAAAGCCGCCCCCTTTTATCACTTCATTATTGCTTTTGTAACATTTATTAACGTGGCTTTTCTATTTTTTTGTTTAATACATATATTATTTGTCACATGGGTGGCACTGGTTGGAGTGTTTAACTCGTTAACAAAAGGTTGTGTGAGTTCCAGTACTAATCAGAGATGTAAAAATGTAGTATTGCATTGTCAGAAGCCAAAAGTGTTTTTTTATCTGTGGATAGACTTGCCACATATATGTAATTTTAGCCAATGCTTACATCTGCGAGTAACTCCGTTTGTAAATTTGCGCAGAGATTCCTCCCTTTTTTGAGTTTTCACGAAACACCTAATCCTTGTTTTTGACCGAAGCCACGGTGCACGTTCAAGAACAAGTGGAAGAAATACCGTTGATGACATCAGCAGAAGTTGAGCTATGAATCCGCGCCAGCGATTCCATTAAAATGCGGCTGGGAGGCCTCCCAAGATTTCATGTTTATGATAGTAAATTCCGCAGCCATGCATCTCGTCTAAAGGTTGGAGAGATAGCAGGAGACAACTGGCGACAGTTTATCATGAAAAAAAAAAGAAGCAAAAAAAAAATGTTGCCGTTATCATCGCAAATACTCGAGACATTAAAGGGAAACTCGAAATGTGAACAACTTTGGCAATTTACACGTTTTGTTCTCGAATGCATCGTACAGCTTTAAGATTTGTTGAACTTAAATTGCCAAAGAAAATGTCTACTTTCAATTAGGCTAAGCATTTGCCGTTTTGACAGTTCGAGGCCTAAGTCTGTTTTATGTTTTTTTTTGTGCCAATTCAAACATCTTGAAAATGGCAGCACATCGTGGGTTGTTTTATCAGCATATGATTTAAATATTTCGGTCGTGTAATGTGTAAGAGCTGTAAAATTCACATATTTTCTCACTGCTGTACATCAATTGAGCTGTTATTGCTGCTCCATTTGTTTGCAGTTTATGCCAGGTACAGCAGAATCTCAGCCTAAAACCAGCTTAACGGTTGATGCTGCCGATGGGTTACGGTTAACATACTGGACTTGCAATCCGAAGGTCCACCAGTTTGATTCCAATTCCTGGCAGTTTCTTAAATCCTCTCTCTTCATTAAATCCCCCATGCCTCTGTCCACTCAGCAGTATTAATTGGGTAACGCCACGGTTAAGTCAATCAGTACATCACGTTTGGTTGGGGATAATGTGTTGGGTAATCCCACCTCTTTCCAGACGTTTGGCCAGTGTAGAGTCGGACAAATAACCCTCTCGAGCAGTGCTTTTTTACCTTTACTGCAGCCGTGCACCCCTTGGGTTCTCAATCGTAAAAAAAAATGTTAATAAACACATAGGTTTGATGAAACAAAGCGGTTGTATTAGTGTCCCCCTGCTTCATTTGTGTTTCGCTGATTTACCTTTTGAAAAAATCTGGCATGTCCCGCACCCCCAGAAAGGGCATCTCGCACCCCCAGGGGGTGCCGTGCACCGCGTGTTCAGAAGAGCCACTGCTCTAGAGAGACCCTCCAGATGCTCCCTTGAGTGAGGGTTCTTCCACCAGCAGTGAAGGAAGCAAGTAATTGCAGGATTGCACCTTTGCTTTCGATATACAAACGGCTCACAACAATTTCCTCTTAGCAATGTCTGACCCCACATTTTTTTTTTGTAACACTAACCCATTCAGTTTTGATTCATAATTCATGTGTGGGTCGGATTGCGTGAGTAAAACGTGTGCTGTAAACACTCCTCCACCCGACACGGCCAATTAGTAAATTTGCCACGTGAACAAGTACTGGAGAGAAAATCGGCAATGTTTAATAATTGGGCCGAGGACTTTTGGCTGGTAGTTACAACCAGCATCCTCAGGCAGGTTCCACTATTTGTTGTGAGATTTGCTCTTCGACTGAAGCAGTAATACGTTGGCACATCTGTTCACAACTTTATTCATTGGCTGTGCTGGGTGGAGGAGGGTATACGACACACGCGCACATTTTACTCGCGCTGTCTGACCCAGCATCAATTATGAATTACAATATTGGTCACTAAAATCTGCGTGTTGAATCCATTCTCTTTTGCGGTGACTAGTAAAACTGCTCGAAAATCTTTTTGTTTTAAACATCCTTTACTGAAGTAAAATCTAATTCGGATAAAGCTTTCAACTTCAAAACCACAATTTATAGAAAATTGCATTTCATCAGCGTAGCAGTGGCCTTCATTGCATAGTACAGTGGAACGAGATAAAATGTTGTTTATGATTGTTGTTTTTACGTAGTTCAATCAGATCATGTATGTGTCAAGGAGTTCCAGCCCGGGCGAGTCTTGAAATTGGTCTTTATTATGTCTTCTGCACAGTGGGTCACACATTAGGGATTGTTGCACACAGCGTTGTAATACGGTGGGCTTTTTTCTGGAAGATTTGCTGGTTTATCCAGGATGTTTCTGTTGCGCATCGTCGCTTTAAGATGTTCTCTGTTCATATTTAGTTTGTTGCGGTTGCACCCGACTCAAGAGCCGCATGGCTCACAGGGCTACACCTAATAAATGAAACTTGAAACTTGAGGCACCACAAACTCCCCTTCTACCCTTCCTTTAATGCTCTTCCCCATCCTTTCCAACAACCTTACAAGACTCTCCACCAATCCCCTTCATTTATCCTCACGGTCTCCCAACCGACCGCTCATTTCCATCTAGTTTTCCCTGATGACTAATCCGATTTGAATGTTCTCCACCTTCAAATCCGATTTGTGCCACAAGTTGGGCCCTCCCCTGTTGTGATAGCGCCTCACCAATGAGAGTCAAGCGTGCTATTGGAACCCACGAGCCATTAGACCTGGTAAGTGTTTGTTTATTTAGTTATTCACAGGGTTTGCCTCTTTGCATCCTTTACAATTTGTAACGATTGTTATTGTTATTTTTAGTCCCTTTTTTTCACGTTACATTATTCGTACCCATAGATCACCATGCTGGTCAGTGCATGTTGGTGAATTCTGGTGGGGTGGAGGACCAATTCAAATAGTGTGTCGCTCATTTAACGGCGCGTATAATAATTTACAAAACTAAGTGGCAGCTAATGATTTTGTTTTTGTCCTACATTTGTATATACGCATGACATGCAGACTTTGGAAGCTTCTTCTTGGAAACGGTTGTAGCTAAAGTCAAAACACGCATGCAACGATTTGAACTGAATCATAATAACGCGTAGTCGTTAGTGAAATGAGCTCAATGCTACATAAACATAATCTGAACTCGGCGTAGTTTTGCAGATATTCCACTTGGCTAGATGAGCCATCTGCACGCAATGGAACCCATGAGACCACACAACGATTATGTAGGACGCTTAAGCAGAGGTGAAGAGTTCAAGCATTCTGCGAAAGGTTTTGGACTAGTTTGCTT